CCTTCCTTCCTTCCTTCCTTCCTTCCTTCCTTCCTTCCTTCCTTCCTTCCTTCCTTCCTTCCTTCCTTCCTTCCTTCCTTCCTTCCTTCCTCTTTGCTTGGTAGCATTAGATGATTAGCATCATGTTTTGTCATGGAAATGCTATGAAGTACACATGCAGAAAATGATAGATACATGTATAGTAGATGTGGTATTCAGCAAGTTCTGACCAGTTCTGGAGAACCGGTAGTAGAAATTTTGAGTAGTTCAGAGAACTGGCAAATACCACCTCTGATTGAAAAATTTACAGTATCCTTCCCTCAGCCATGCCCACCAAGCTACGTCCACAGAACCGGTAGTAAAAAAAAATTGAATCCCACCACTGATGTATAGTAGTAAACTGTCATCAGCATTTTATGTTCTGCCTGATGCCCAGGGTAAATTTCATTCTTTAGGTACCTATCAGAATGGGAATTTATAGGAAATACATTTTTCCTATGCCACTGTAACAAAATATATTTATTTTTACTTCCAGTCAAATGTTGTAGAATTTAAAGGATAGGTATATAGAGAATCATTTCCAAAGATACTAACAACATGTTAATTTTGGATTATTAATTAATTAATTAATTCACTTGATTGATTCACTCATTAATTAATTAATTCAATTGATTGATTCATTCACGCACTCACTCACTCTCACTCAGATATAGTAAATAATAATTAGCTTTATTTTTCATGACATACTGTCTATGAAGACCCCGAAGACTATTCTTTAATTTAAAAATCTGAAATCTTCTAAAAATTGGACTTTCAGAATCTGCCTGGAAAGAGAATTCTAGAATACAAGCAGCACAAACACAGGTTTCAAGACTGATTTCTATTGCTTGAGGAATATTGAACTAAAAGCCCTGGTGGCACCATCATTACAATGCAGTATTGCAGGCTAACTCTGCCCACTGCCAAGAGTTTGATCCTGACCAGCTCCAGATTGACTCAACCTTCCATCCTTCTGAGGCTGGAAAAATGGGGACCCAGGGGGAAAAATATACTGATTCTGTGAACCACTTAGAGAGTGATGTGAAGCATTATAAAGCAGTATATAAGTCTAAATGCTATTGCTATTGCTATTGTTTACTACTTTTGACCAATGAACAGAATCATATGGGAAATCAGTATTAGAACATTGAACTTTGGCTTTATGCTACTTTACCCCATTCATATTCTGAGAGCAGTAGGAAGTACGTAGAACATTTCAAACCATCTCTATTTTCTATCCTGGTAGATTATAAGAGTTTCAATATGAAATGTGCCTCAGTGGGAAACTTGACCAGAAGGCCTTTCTCCGCTCAGATTTCTGGCTGGCCATTCTCTGCTGTTCACAAAGTGGAATTGTGGCAGTGTATTATCTGAACATTTGCAAATGACAACCTGCTATTTAGCAGTGCTTCATTTTCTGCAGATAAGAAGCCAGAATTCTCCTGGAAGCAAATCTTGAATTTCTATTTTTAACCTTTTCAAAAGAATGAAGCAAATGAAATAATGAAATCTAATCACGAAGAGTGCGATAAGAAAGACAAGGTTCTTTTTTATTTTTGACTTCACAATTCTACACTCTACAATTGATCAATACCCTTTGGAGAATTAGATAAATATTAGATAGCTGTTTTGCAATCTGGATTTGAGGAATGAGATATCAGGAATAAGAGATCCAAGAGCTAATTTACATATATTGGTTATTGTCTATTATTGTAAAGAAGAATACAGAAAATACAAAAAAGAAGAAACAGTTAAAAATGCCTAACAATAAACAAATGTTGCCCATAAAAAAGAACTACTTCTTGTAAAAACAAACACTCCAAACTGAATATTTCTTGAAAAAAGATCAAGAGTCAAACCATAACTCAGCCTTGAAAATAAAGTGGAGGTATCTTCTTTTTAACAAATGTGAAAAATGGAAACGGAACCTTAAGAAATGGAACACTGTTAGGTGTTCCTTGATAGCTGATTTCCAGTCTTCCAGCCATTGACCAAAATATTTCATATTTGGATCAAAGATGTAGATGTTTCTATATATTCAAGTTCCAGGGTGCTATGGGTTGGAAATCTGCTTTCAGAGAACCAGCAATGAAATTGAACATGATTATCTGAAAAAAATGTATCATCTAAACCGTACTGAGCCTTTGGCTAGTAAGCAAGTACATTGTTCTTTTCTTGAGCTTTAATTCCCTGACGATTTTTTGTTCTGGATTTGGCCAGTATTCTTCTACCATACCAGGTGACAAAGGTGCAGGACACTCACCTTTGCTGTAGTTGGTGCTATTTCTACTGGGTTAGTTAAATCAAGGATTACTAATTACTAAGGGTTACTAATCAAGGAGAGAACCAACCTAGAACTAAAAAGAAATTTCCTGACGGTGTGAACAATTTTCCAGTGAAATATGTTGCCGTCATAAGTTGTGGGTGCTCCATCACTGGAGGCTTTCAAGAAGAGACTGGATAGTCACTTGTCTCAAATGGTATAGACTCTCCTCCTTGAATAGAGGGTTGGACTAGAAGATGTCCAAAGTTCCTTTCAACTCTGGGATTATTTTAAAGGCTGATACAAGTTTTCAATTTATGGCAAACCTAAGAACCAGATCCAAGAATAATGATGAGAAGTCCCTCTTGTTTGTTATATTTAAATCTTCCCTTTCCTAAACAAAGTTGATAAATCAAGTCATTTTTTCAACAGATTTACAGCAGCTTTTCAAAGTAATGTGTCTCACTGTAAAAGGACAGTAAACTAAATTTAAGCAAAATAGTTATTTTTTTCTCTTACTTTTCAGAAGAGTTTCTGCGAATTTGTTACAAAAAATACAGTCAGGTCTTCTATAACAGTTTAAAGAATTACAGTCAGCTTTTTAGACTAATGTTTATTTGATACCAACATCTCTCTCCCTCTTAATGATGTACATTGATAAAATTTTGCAAAATATATTTTTGTTTGGATGTTGTATTATTTTGCTGAAGGAGGCATATTAAAAAAAAAACTGTGGAAAATTACCATATTCAAAGATCACATGATCAACTATTATTGTAGTTCACAAATCAGGTGTGATTTATTTAATGATGAGGGCAATTGTGCCCTCAGTCAAATCCCCCCAAATAAAGCATGTTGAGGTAACCCTGTAGTTTAATCCTAGTACTTTTTTTCTTCTACTGCTCTTCTTGGGTAACCAACATTTGGCCTGAGCTTCTTTGATGCTATCAACTCTTGGTTATCGAAATAATTGACATATCTGCATGGAGAAACTGACTGTCAGTTTAACTTCTGTGATAGGAAACAAAGCAGTAAAGTCCTTCAAGTTCACCTCAAGAATCTCAAGAAAAAAAATGGATCTCTACCGCTGTCTTTTTATCTGCCATTCAATATTCAGAAAAAAAAGCCCAAGGGGATACTTTTATTAAAAAAAAAAAATCAAAATCCTCACTGAAAACATTTTAAAAATCCCCATGGATTTTTTTTTTTCTTTAAAAAAATAAGCATTGTGCTTCCAAAACTATGAATAACTTCTTCTGACAAATTTGGGGGATTCTATATTTGTGTTGGGTGGGACGCGGTGGCTCAGTGGCTAAGACGCTGAGCTTGTGGATCAGAAAGGACGGCAGTTCGGCGGTTCAAATCCCTAGCGCCACATAATGTAGTGAACTCCCGTTACTTATCCCAGCTTCTGCCGACCTAGCAGTTTGAAAGCATGTAAAAATGCAAGTAGAAAAATAGGGACCACTTTGGTGGGAAGGTAACAGCATTCTGTGCGCCTTCGGCATTTAGTCATGCCGGCCACATGACCATGCAGACATCTTCGGACAACGCTGGCTCTTCAGCTTTGTAACAGACATGAGCACCGCCCCCTAGAGCCGGAAACGACTAGCACATATGTGCAAGGGGAACCTTTACCTTTATTTGTGTTGAAGTTCATGTACTTCCTCTTGACTTCTTTCACATATACTTTGCTTTTAGTTTGGCGGAAAGTAATATTTAGCAGAACGTTAACTTTGCCAAAAGTTTTTAGTGGTCGAAATCCTTATTTAGGGATGGAATGCAACCTGATACCTTGCGAGGGTGAGTTCTCACAGAGCTAGGAAATCTCTTTCTGGTTGGTACAACAGGTACAACAGGTTAGTTCTCAATTTACAAGAGCTTGTTTAGTGACCATTCAAAGTTACCACGGCATTGAAAAATGTGACTCATGACTGTTTTTCACAGTTACGAGCTTTGCAGCATTCCCGTGATCATATGATCAAAATCCAGATGCTTGATAATGGCTCATTTTTTTGTGGTGTCCCAAGGACATGTGATCACTTTTTGTGACCTTCTGATGAGCCAAGTCAATGACGAAGCCAGATTCACTTAACAATTGGGTTACCAACTTATCAACTGCAGTGATTCACTTAACAACTGGGGCAAGAAAGGTCACAAAATGGGACAAACCCCACGTAACAAATGTGTCACTTAACAGCATACATTTTTATTCTCAAGTTTGGCTGGAAGTCAAGGATTACCTGTAAATACTCTTCTCTATAGATATATGGATAGGATACTATCCATATGGAAATTGAGAGGTAGAATTTTTCCAGCTTCAGAATTATGTTGACTTGGATTTATTTTGTCAAGTTCTTATTCATCTATGTAAATTTCTGCCTGCGTTATGAAAGCATGCAGCCTTATCGGACTTAGAATTTATCCCTAATGAAAAAATGAACACAACATAAGTGTAGAGCTTTGCTTTACTCTTTTCCTACCCAACCCTGGCTAACCTCAGAAAACTGAAAACCATCCCAAAAGAAGTCGCTGGCAAACCACTCTCATAACTTTGCCAAGAAAACTGTATGGATGCTGTCAGCAGGAATTGGGTTCAGCTGAAGGGCACCATAACTTTTTATCTTATTAAATGATGCGAGGAACGACTTTCTGTAAGTTCAGCTCAATGGCAAAGTATTCTTTCTCCTTAAAAAGTAACGACCTGTATTATTTAATCTATATCTATGATATAGATCATGTGACTATAACCTATACTCAACTTTAGAGTTATCATAGGACACATGATACATCACCAAGTCTCAAAAAGCAGAGATGTTTAATAGTAAATACTCCATATCAGGATAAGAATTAACACTTTGTATTGTGAAGTCTGAATTTCCTGTATGTTAAAAAAAAAAACCCTCTTTTCCATTTATATTCAACACAACTTTTTAGATAGCATATAAAGGAGCTTTTTTAACTGTAGGATGCCACCTACGCTCAATCGAGAATCCAGTGCAACGTTGGGTGATCAAAAAAGGAGATGCTTTTGATGGAATTCATCAAAAGGCATTTAATTAGCATGGACTACAGTAATCTCATCCACGGTTGCAAAAAAAAAAAAAAAAAAGCAAGTCTGACAATTTACAGCAGTGGTTCTAACACTGTTTTTTAGGTACTCATGAATGCAGGTCCTGTAAAAGGTAAAGGTTTCCGTTGCACATACGTGCTAGTTGTTTCTGGCTCTAGGGGGCAGTGCTCATCTCCATTACAAAGCCAAAGAGTGAGCACTGTCCGAAGACATCTCTGTGGTCATGTGGCTGGCATAACTAAATGCCAATGGCACATAGAATGCTGTTACCTTCCCACCAAAGTGGTCTCTGTTTTTCTACTTGTATTTTTACATGCTTTCGAACTGCTAGGTTGGCAGAAGCTGGGACAAGTAACGGGAGCTCCCTCCATTATGCGACGCTAGAGATTCGAACCACCAAACTGTTGACCTTTCTGATTGACAAGCTCAGCGTCTTAACCACAGGGCCACCCTGTCCCTTACGTACCCCAGGTCCTGTAATGACAAGACAAACAAAAACATGTGCTGAAAGAGATCTCTTTTAACGTAATGTTTGGGCACAAAGAATGTGATACATTCTCATTTTAAGATTCCCCCATGGGCTGTGTGACCATTGCTCCTATGGCTCACAAGCCCTTCTTCCTAGTTTCCAGTCTTGTCTTTCATCAGCTGACTATGATCACGTAACAGGAAAGTTTATGTTGAAGAGATACTTGGCTATAGTGTTCAATCATGATTTCTTTTTACACTTGCGATTTATCCTGACACAAGGCCTGCAGAAATATTGAATGGGAACAGGGTAAAAACAAAGGGAGGAAATCCAGTTCACGTACTTGCCTTCAATGGAAATCTTAAGTTACAGTCAATTGCCCTCAAGATGGACAGATTTTTCCATTCTGTTTCGGCCCAATGGAATCAAGAATATTGGATAGCAAGGATAAATTTGTGGGGAATTGTTTTTGCCCAAACTGCTTCTCACCAATTAGATTTGATTTGTGGGTGGAAGGAAGGGAGGAAGGAAAGAAAGAAAGAGAAAGAAAGAGAAAGAGGGAAGGAAGGAGGAAAGAAAGAAAAGGAGAGAAAGAAAGGGAGAAAACAGAAAGAAAGAAAGAGGAAAGAAAGAAAAAGAAAGAAAGAAAGAAAGAAAGAAAGAAAGAAAGAAAGAAAGAAAGAAAGAAAGA